GAGTAGATGCTGCAAAAACAAAATTATGCTTACACATTAATTCTTTGAGTTTTATACTAAATACATAATTTTAGGTTCAGATATTAAAAAATTATTCTTATTAAAACATAAATGTATATTGAAAATCTCGATATAACAATATACGATAATTAAACTTAATTGATGCAATTTTCTTAATTGGTAATCAAATGTACATTCGTTAGACATGTTCGTTATCTTTGGATATGCTAACACACCTAGTCAAGTACATTAATTAACCACAGTTATGTTCATAATTATAGGATTAACTAATCTACCTTTGGGCGATCCTTAACTATCCTATAATTTATGAATTTCAAATTACTCATGTCAACTACATCATGTCATCTCTTTAAAGCATCTCACGATCATGAGTAATTAAATCTAACGTAGTTTGATATCTATAGGATAACCATTCTAATTTGGCCACTTTGGTGACTAACAAATTATACATAATATAGTATCAAGCTTAAATAATAACTATAATACTATCCAAGGTCAAAATTGGGTCAATTCGATCCATTGACCGTTAACTTTGATGGTTAACCGTTAATATACTCTATCGCAGTCCCTGCTAGGACTGTCAGACAAGTCAAGCTACTTGCAAGTGTTAGAGTCATGAAAGTGACTCTATTTTGGTGATAAAAATACCCCATTTGTGATTAAATTGAAGTATATTGAGACAATTAAAGAATTTATGATTTATTCACGAAAATCGCTTCCTAATATTTTTTCTTATGAATCTAATGTGTTTGGAATGATTTTGGAAAATATATGAGTTGATATTAGGTTGTGGTTTATGGATNTTCTTCTTCGCCCCGGCGAAGCTTGGTACACTCAAATTCTTCTATTTTCAACCAAAATTCAGGGCAACATTCAACATAACATTCAATCAAACAAAATCAACAAAACCAACTCAAATAGGAGCGAAAGAGGAAATAATAACAACGTACCTCAAGTGGGGCGTTACAATAGGTTCCAACAGCTTCAACTCGTGCTTTGACCTGATTTCCCATGTATACAAATCTTTTATTGTCGTTTATGGTTTGGGTCATAAGGAATCCCTGCATGGTATTAGAAATATGAGTGCTATATCCATAATCAATCCACCAAGTATTATAAGGAACTTTTGATAAATATGATTCGAAACATACAAAAGCACTAGGCTTACCTTTCTTTTCAAATCATGCCTTGCGTTTCAGGCAGTCCCTTATATAGTGTCCAACTTTCTTACAGAAGTGACACTTTTCTTTAGTCTTATCCTTCTTATGAATTTGGGCAGAAGACTCTTCAATCTTCAGTGGCCTTTCGCCTTTTCCATACTTCTTGTTGAATTTCTTCTTAACTCCGGACAAGCCCACAAGATTAACTAAATAAACTCCTTGTTTGTTCAATCTTTACTCCTCCTGTACTGGCTTAGTTTGAAGCTTAGTCATAGTCCATTTATCTTTAATTGTATTATAATTAATTTGAAATGGACTAACTTGAGAAGGTAAAGAGTTAATAACAAATTGAACTAAGAAATTTTCATCCACAGACATTCCCATGTTCCTAATTCTTATTGCTATATTTGACATCTCAGTCACATGCTCATACATGCTATGAGAACCATCATATTTCATGGTGGTCAGCCTACTCATTAATGCCCTAGTATAGGACTTGTCAGTAGCCTCAGACTGAGAAGTCTCTTTGGCTAATCTCATAAATTCCCTAGCATATTTTGTGGCCGGAAATGAGGTCTTAATTTCACTCGCCATTGTCATCTGTAAAAACTTTAGGCTCAATCTATTCGATCTCTCCCATTCTTTATGGAAAGACCTCTCCTCATCAGTGCTGTTCTCAGTGAGATTAGTTGGTTTCTCTGTCATGAGTGCAAGGTCGAGATTATGAATACCTAAGTAATACTCGACTTGCTCACTCCACTTATTATAATTGAACCCATTAAACTTAACAACAGATGAGGCATGAAGAGTAGATGCTACAAAAACAAAATTATGCTTACACATTAATGCTTTGAGTTTTATACCTAATACATAATTTTAGGTTAAGATATTAAAAATTATTATTATTAAAACATAAATGTGTATTGAAAATATCCTTTGGGAGATATAACGATATATGATAATTAAACTTAATTGATGCAATTTTCTTAATCTTAATTGGTAATCAAATGTACTTTCATTAGACATGTTTGTTATCTTTTGATATACTAAACACACCCAGTCAAGTATATTAATTAACCACAGTTATGTTCATAATTATAGGATTAACCAATCTACCTTTGGGCGATCCTTAACTATCCTATAATTTATGAACTTCAAATTACTCATGTCAACTGCATCATGTCATCTCTTTAAAGCATCTAACCATCATGAGTAATTACATCTAACTTAGTTTGATATCTATAGGATAACCATTCTAATTTGGCTATTTTCTGACTAACAAATTATACATAATATAGTATTAAACTTAAATAATAACCATAATACTATCCAAGGTCAAAATTGGGTCAATTCGACCTGTTGATTGTTAAATTTGACGGTTGATCGTTAATTTTTACAGTTGACTGTTTAGTCAACGGTGTGAAGCGGTTTGACCTGTTTACCGATCCGAATGCTAACTGGATTGGGTGTACTTGTTTGACTAAATGGGTTGGGCTTCTTTATGAGTTATTATTAATATGCTTGGGTTTGAATTTTCTTAATGGGTTTGGGTTTGAATTGGACTCACTTAAAAAACAAATATGACTTGGGCTTCGTTTATTTGGGTTTATATAAACTAAAACAAATGGATTTTAAAGGAAATTGGGCTAGATCAACATATGGGTCAATATTTGACCCGAATTTATGGAAATTTTTTATTGAAAAACTAATCTGGAAAATCGCATTTCATCATGAGAAAATTTGATTTCAACCAACTTTCTAACCACTTAATAGATTCACAAACTCAATCAAATTTACAAAACCGAATCAAATTTAACAGCCCTTTATATTTGTCAATTTGCAAACCCAACTCAATTTCTTTATCCCATAAGAACCCTAATATATTAAAAAACAACTTAATGGAAAATACATCAGTTTCTAAACGTAATGCTTTGATACCACATGTAAAACAATCTTAATAGCAATCTTATTAATTCCATGAATGGCAAAGAAAAAACAATATAATCAGATTTCTATGCCCTAAAATTGCATAATCTTAAATCCCAAAAATCTAAAACTTTGATGCATTTTCACTATTTATAAAACCAATAAAACATACCTGAATCCATGTATATCTCTCCATTTGTTCCCTTATTATCAATCTCTTCTTTTGATGGATAAAGAAAAATATATATAATGAATTAATTTTTTTAGGGAATAGAAAGAGAAGACCTCTTTTATATGGCAGTTCAAAAACTCCCAAAACTCCCAATCTATAGTTATTTAATTAATTGTAGTAATCTCTCCATCAAAGGTAAATGACCATCATGCTCTTCAGTTAATTTAATTATTTCAAAACAACTATATGATAAAATTAATACATGGATCACCCTATGAGAAATATAAAATATTTCTAACATAAATATCTAATTCTTGTGTACGTTTCTTACCCTTAATTTAAATATTTTTTTGATTTTTATCTTGCACTAAAGAAATATATATTAATGTCATTGGATATATATATTTTTTTATTTACCTGTGATATTTCATTAGTTTGTGTACACCTCAATTAATCTTTTAGGGTTTTAAAATTGTTGATGTATAAGAGTTTAAGTGACCACCCCACTTGAACTCAAGAGTTTATGTAAACTTCTTTTACTCTTTTATCATCAACCACAAGATCGTTGTTGATGTATGTTGCTTACCAAATTCGCAATCTAGCTCAGTCCATGTTTACTTATTTAACTCATCCTCCCAATCAATCAAAACTTTGAACTAACCACTGCCACTAATCTCATTATCATTCACATTCATCCAATAACGCGAACGGTTAATTATCCTATTAAAAGCCTAAATTTAGAGGTCCTAAATTATACCCTTATTTATTGTTTAAAAAAAAAAAAAAAAACACTATAATACCAAGTTTAGTTAACAGTGTAAATCAACCCCAGTCATCTAGCTGTAAGGATAAGAATTGTAAATTGGATTGTGCATGTGATGTCACGTGGAACAATCACCACCTTTGCTCTTTCTCTGTGCTAATTTATTCATCTAAATCATACGGGTTTCAACATCTAATCAAACGTACAATCTACTCTTCATCATTAATAATATAATTCTCCATTACTTTTATATCCAGCTATAGTAGCTTTTATTATAAAATAGGACAATAAATCAATTAATTAATATAAACATTAATTAGGTAAGATAATAAGACTAATTAAGTGAGACGTATAAAAAAGCACAGCGAATGAATCGATGATACAACAGAACGGTGGCGTTTACTGAATAAATAGAAATTAAATCCCGCCATCCCCGACCAGATTCTGTTAACTGTATTGAATTCACATAGAAGATACTGTGCGTGCTCTCCAGCTATGAGCTTCCTCACTACTACTTCACTGCACGTTCTCTCTTTATTTTTTTTTTTTTTCTAAAAAGGCCGCAATCCCTAGTTTTTTGCTAAATAACTATATTCCCCTTGATAATGTTTCCGAAGTCCAGGGGACCCAAGGGGTCAAAAAGTAATTTAACCTATTTTTAGTTTCCTCTTTTATATCTAACGTGGCTGTTACCAAATATTAATATGTATTTATTAAAAAAGAAAATGTTACGATTTGTGAATCTGAAAATAGTAAATGAATTAGTTATTTAAATTTGTTAGATCTGATAAACAGTTAAGGTAAGATCAAATTAATAACCATTGAAATTAAATCTGTTTATTAGATAAAAACCAAAAGATTCGTGAAAATAAAATAAAAGAAAAGAAAAAATATATTGGCTTAGGTGGCCTTATCAACACTGCAGCCGTAACACAAGTAGCATCTGTTAAAAATATCCACAAACAAACGCGTAGCGTATCAAAATCGTGGGAAGCCACTTACACACTCTTGCGCGTTGGCTTTCGTTTAGGTTTTGGCTTTCTACCTTTGGCGCTTTAACGTGAAAAAGAATCCCGGCCGACTCGCCGGTACTCTTGCACCGTCCATCGTCATCATCACGCTAAGCACTTTTTTACACATTAAACCAATTGCATTGACTCCTCCATTTTCATACACTTGAAGCAATGGGAGTTGATTACTACAATATTCTGAAAGTGACCCGGAACGCCACGGAGGATGATCTCAAGAAGGCCTACAAGAGGCTGGCCATGAAGTGGCATCCCGACAAAAATCCAGTGAACAAGAAAGAAGCGGAAGCGAAATTCAAGCAGATATCCGAGGCGTATGACGTCTTGAGTGATGCGCAGAAACGTCAGATCTACGATCTGTACGGAGAGGAAGGGCTGATGGCTACTGAATTTGGTACGCCATCGTATGAGAGTAGTAATTCGAATTCTGGATTTAGGTACAATCCGCGTGATGCGGAGGATATATTCGCCGAGTTTTTCGGCGGATCGAGCGGGAAGAGGAGCGGGCCTTATAGGAATGGCAGCACTTATACGGAGCATAGGAAGACTCCGGGGAGTGTAAAAGCGGCGGCGATTGAGAGTAAATTGGTGTGTAGTTTGGAGGAGCTTTATAAAGGCGCTAGAAGAAAAATGAGGATTTCTCGTGTGGTTCCTGATGAATTCGGGTAATTATTCTATGTTTATTTATTAATGTTTGAAAATACATTTTTAGAATGTTTTGTAGATTGCACTATTCTTTATTTTTTCTAAAGAATTTTGTGGCGAATTTTGACATATAAGCATGGTAGGTGAGCAGGTTAATGTGTATGTTTTCATTTTGAGCTGGTGGGTAGGATTAATTGAAATTCTTTTGACGTAGTTATTGTTTTGTAAAATTGCAGTTTTTGAAGATTTTTGAATAATAATTATAGTTCGAAAAACCCATAAAAGAAATTGTTACGGGGAATTTGTGGCCTGAAAGAAATTTGCTATGCTGAAAATAACTTGTTTGGTATGATTTATGTGTTCTTTGGGGTCTTTTTTGGTTTTCAATGCAACTTTCTAGTCCAGTTATAACTTTTGTCCACTTTTGGTGTGTGGCCGAGTCCGTTAGCTCTGATGAGGTTGCTTCTGTTGACAGATGTGTGTATACATATGAAATAATTTGGCATATAGGATGGGATTGGAAACATCTTAATCGTTTAGCAGAATATTTAACACAATTTATAAAATTGCATGATATTGACTTTCATTGCTTTGTTCTTTCTTGAATGGTGCTTTGTCAATTTGCTGTCTATTCTTCTGGATTGATAGAAAAGTATCTGTCTTGCAGTAAGCCGAAAACTGTGGAGGAAATCTTAAAAATAGATATAAAACCTGGCTGGAAGAAGGGTACAAAAATCACTTTTCCAGAGAAAGGTAACCAAGAACCTGGTGTCACTCCAGCTGATCTTATTTTTGTGGTGGATGAGAAACCCCATGTTATTTTCAAGAGGGATGGGAATGATCTGTTGGTGAATCAGAAAATATCACTTCTGGAGGCCCTTACTGGGCAGACTTTTAGTGTGCTAACCTTGGATGGAAGGAATCTTATCATCCCAGTGACAGATATAGTCAAACCAGGGCATGAGGTGGTGGTCCCAAAGGAAGGAATGCCAATCTCGAAAGATCCCAGCAAGAAGGGAAACCTTATTATCAAGTTTGATGTGATGTTTCCGTCAAGACTCACTGCAGAACAGAAATCAGATTTAAAGAGGGTGTTGGGTGGAGCTGATAACTAGTTGGAAACTCAAGCCTTGAGTGTCCAACTATCTTTTAGTCCAGATTGATACTGGGTCAATTAGATGTAAATATGTTAAGTCTCCCACTATTGAAGCCGAAGATTGTTCATAGTAGGAAGAATGTTAAGGGGTTTGGAAACAGTATATGTTGATAGTATATGGTGGTGGAAAAAAGGATCATCTTTAATCCTCTTCTACTACTTGTTTTGCTGCAAGAGAATGTTGGCCTTCTAATTGGAATTTGTATACAGGTAATGTAGTGGTAGTTTTTGATTAATATGTATGGTGAAAAACCTGTTGTATGATGCCCATATTAGTAAGGATGAACCATACTCTATTGAATGGTTTAAGGTTTGACTTTAAAAGTTTGCATGTCTTCGAATTGTTCATTTTTTACTGTTCTTTGCAGAATATGTTTAGATTACAGTGTCTTTTTCACTCCCTTGATGGAATTTTTATGGAGTGCTCATTGATTTTTTAGATTTTGGTCCCAGTGATAGCACTTGAGAATACGATAGTTTGACATTGAATAAATTTGTTTGAATATTAGCTCTGGTGCTGCTTTGAATCAGGTGGGAAAGTGGTTTGGCTAATGCTTCCACATCGCATTGGGCAAAAATACTAGTGGCAAAGGATTGTGAAGAAGTCGGAAGTATCCTCCATCTATTATTTTCTAGTCAACTGAAAATTTATTTTCTTTTCTATTGAAGTCCAAATTCTAGGCATTGGTTGGTACAAATTCTTTGATGCTCTTTTGTTGTATTATATACCCTTTTCCTCCTCAGAATCAGCCTTCTGCCTTTGCTCTCGTTTTTTTTATTCCCCCTGTTATCGAAAAGTTTAATATTATGGTGTGAAAAAAGAGAGGATCATAACAAAGTATTCAACTTTAATTTGTTCATAAAAGCTTTCTGTTTGAGAAAAATTAGGATGTAATTTAGTGTGTTTGCTTATGGTTGGAGACAAAAAACAACTTGAAGGGTATGATATTACAGCTTTTTTTTGGTCGCTGTTTTATAATTAGAAACAAATTGCAAAGTTCTAAATCAAGTATCCTTAACAGAAGCAAACAATGGTATGAAAAATAAAGAAATAACAATCTTATTTTAGTAAATGATGAATAGTCCCGTTTTTCATCTGCACTTGTTCCTAGCACCCTATCCATGGTTGGCATGGCATCACATCAAACAGCTCAGATTCCCTTGCCCATCAAAAACCTTATAAGCATAATAATGATATATATTCAGTCTAAAACCCTATTTTAGATAATTAATTAAAAGAGTGTTAATGAGTAACCGCCAGCTTGACAAACGCAACTTCAGAATAATTGGCAGCTATAGGGTTCCAATAATTTACAAGGTCCATACTCCACACCATGGAGCCGAGAAATAATTTATAAACCACTATCTTCACACAAAATCAAAACCATATTTAAAACCATGTATAGAAAATAAATGTTAGTTTCTTTGTTGGCATCAAACTGATTGGTTCTTGGAATGACACTCCATAATCTGGTTGGTCTTTGAAGGGCTAAATCCATGTTGGTTCTCCAAGTCAGACGTGGTTGGTTCGTTTATTATTTTTGTTTTGCAAACTTGTAAAACCGACAGAACGCGGGTAATTATTTGTTTCCATAAATCATTTTACCATATTTAATTAAATAATTATTAATGTACATTTACATTTTCATGTTTTCCCTAATTTGTAAAAGAATACAACTTAATTCTATGTAGGGATGGACATAGGCCGGGTCGGGAGGTGGGGACAATTTGGTGATGGGGTGGGCCGGGGTGAGGCCAATCTGTACCCTGCCTGTCCTCGAGTTCAGGGACTATTTTTCAGCCCGAGCCCGTTTGAACCCTCAACAATTCGAGGAATCTTTGTCTTATTCAGGTCGGGTTGGGTTCTCGACATAGCAGGGATTATGCCTATCCCTAATTCTGTGGCTACTCGGAGAGCATCTTCATTTATACGATTAATTACTTTCTTTCTTTGGAAAGAATGACAAAGATAGGGAAAAATTGAAATACTATCAATAGTAGGTCATTAGTCATTACTTGTATTAATTTTTAAACATTAGTATTAAGATCCCACATTCACTAAGTATGAGATTAGTGGGTGGTTTATTAACTTTTAGACTCCCTCTCCTCAGAAGTTGGTCTCAAATTTAAGTTCTACCCAATGAATTCGTAACAAAAACATTGATGAAGCCTTGTACATCCAGTAATCTATATTTCTAATTAAGTCATTCCTTTTCTTAATGAATTTATGTGTTTAGAATTGGTGTAGATTAGAAAATAATCATTTCATTTTAAACTAAATCATTATAAGTGTTTAGTAAAGGGATATTATCATCTAGAGGACAATTATTTTATAAATACATTTGAGGACACCATTTTAAGATATTTACAATTAGAGGACACTTAACAATAAAAAAAAAAAGTTAACTTTAACTTTGCTAAGGGTATTAATATAAATTTATAAAAATACACATTTAATTTCAATGAGATTCATAATTAAAATAAGTTGACAAATAAATTTTTATTATATTTTGCATTTTTTAGTTATGAGTTTTTCTTTTTTTAAATATATTGCCTTTAATTTTTTAACTTATATGTATAATTATACATATATTATCTTTCTTTTTTGGGGAAAAATGACATCATAATTGCAATATACATGGTTATTTAAGCCATTTTAGAAAATCAAGTTAAAGTTAAATGTGTTTTATTGCTAGATGTCCTCTAGTTGAGAATTCTCGAATAAAAAAAAAGTCCAACATTCAATTTCTTAAAATTGTCTTTTAATTGTAAGTTTCATAAAAATGACATGGGCAAAAGCTGATGAATGAGAGGTATGCCAGTAGGAGTTTAGTTGAAACTAAGGGATACCTTCGACCCTACGATCACTTAAATAAGATTCGTGATTTTTAGGGGATGTCGATGGGTTTTCCTGTGTGGCATTCTGATGCTTAAATCAGATATTAAGATCGGAAAATGAGGAGTTTTGTGTGAAAGTAGTGAGTCTACCCTTGTCGGCCCCCTTGTAGGGTTTATATAGAGCCCTTTCCCTCTAAACGTGAGGAGGGTTTTAAGAGCTGTGTTGCCATGATTTTCATGGCATAATAGTCCTGTCTTGCAGTAAGCCGAAAACTGTGGAGGAAATCTTAAAAATAGATATAAAACCTGGCTGGAAGAAGGGTACAAAAATCACTTTTCCAGAGAAAGGTAACCAAGAACCTGGTGTCACTCCAGCTGATCTTATTTTTGTGGTGGATGAGAAACCCCATGTTATTTTCAAGAGGGATGGGAATGATCTGTTGGTGAATCAGAAAATATCACTTCTGGAGGCCCTTACTGGGCAGACTTTTAGTGTGCTAACCTTGGATGGAAGGAATCTTATCATCCCAGTGACAGATATAGTCAAACCAGGGCATGAGGTGGTGGTCCCAAAGGAAGGAATGCCAATCTCGAAAGATCCCAGCAAGAAGGGAAACCTTATTATCAAGTTTGATGTGATGTTTCCGTCAAGACTCACTGCAGAACAGAAATCAGATTTAAAGAGGGTGTTGGGTGGAGCTGATAACTAGTTGGAAACTCAAGCCTTGAGTGTCCAACTATCTTTTAGTCCAGATTGATACTGGGTCAATTAGATGTAAATATGTTAAGTCTCCCACTATTGAAGCCGAAGATTGTTCATAGTAGGAAGAATGTTAAGGGGTTTGGAAACAGTATATGTTGATAGTATATGGTGGTGGAAAAAAGGATCATCTTTAATCCTCTTCTACTACTTGTTTTGCTGCAAGAGAATGTTGGCCTTCTAATTGGAATTTGTATACAGGTAATGTAGTGGTAGTTTTTGATTAATATGTATGGTGAAAAACCTGTTGTATGATGCCCATATTAGTAAGGATGAACCATACTCTATTGAATGGTTTAAGGTTTGACTTTAAAAGTTTGCATGTCTTCGAATTGTTCATTTTTTACTGTTCTTTGCAGAATATGTTTAGATTACAGTGTCTTTTTCACTCCCTTGATGGAATTTTTATGGAGTGCTCATTGATTTTTTAGATTTTGGTCCCAGTGATAGCACTTGAGAATACGATAGTTTGACATTGAATAAATTTGTTTGAATATTAGCTCTGGTGCTGCTTTGAATCAGGTGGGAAAGTGGTTTGGCTAATGCTTCCACATCGCATTGGGCAAAAATACTAGTGGCAAAGGATTGTGAAGAAGTCGGAAGTATCCTCCATCTATTATTTTCTAGTCAACTGAAAATTTATTTTCTTTTCTATTGAAGTCCAAATTCTAGGCATTGGTTGGTACAAATTCTTTGATGCTCTTTTGTTGTATTATATACCCTTTTCCTCCTCAGAATCAGCCTTCTGCCTTTGCTCTCGTTTTTTTTATTCCCCCTGTTATCGAAAAGTTTAATATTATGGTGTGAAAAAAGAGAGGATCATAACAAAGTATTCAACTTTAATTTGTTCATAAAAGCTTTCTGTTTGAGAAAAATTAGGATGTAATTTAGTGTGTTTGCTTATGGTTGGAGACAAAAAACAACTTGAAGGGTATGATATTACAGCTTTTTTTTGGTCGCTGTTTTATAATTAGAAACAAATTGCAAAGTTCTAAATCAAGTATCCTTAACAGAAGCAAACAATGGTATGAAAAATAAAGAAATAACAATCTTATTTTAGTAAATGATGAATAGTCCCGTTTTTCATCTGCACTTGTTCCTAGCACCCTATCCATGGTTGGCATGGCATCACATCAAACAGCTCAGATTCCCTTGCCCATCAAAAACCTTATAAGCATAATAATGATATATATTCAGTCTAAAACCCTATTTTAGATAATTAATTAAAAGAGTGTTAATGAGTAACCGCCAGCTTGACAAACGCAACTTCAGAATAATTGGCAGCTATAGGGTTCCAATAATTTACAAGGTCCATACTCCACACCATGGAGCCGAGAAATAATTTATAAACCACTATCTTCACACAAAATCAAAACCATATTTAAAACCATGTATAGAAAATAAATGTTAGTTTCTTTGTTGGCATCAAACTGATTGGTTCTTGGAATGACACTCCATAATCTGGTTGGTCTTTGAAGGGCTAAATCCATGTTGGTTCTCCAAGTCAGACGTGGTTGGTTCGTTTATTATTTTTGTTTTGCAAACTTGTAAAACCGACAGAACGCGGGTAATTATTTGTTTCCATAAATCATTTTACCATATTTAATTAAATAATTATTAATGTACATTTACATTTTCATGTTTTCCCTAATTTGTAAAAGAATACAACTTAATTCTATGTAGGGATGGACATAGGCCGGGTCGGGAGGTGGGGACAATTTGGTGATGGGGTGGGCCGGGGTGAGGCCAATCTGTACCCTGCCTGTCCTCGAGTTCAGGGACTATTTTTCAGCCCGAGCCCGTTTGAACCCTCAACAATTCGAGGAATCTTTGTCTTATTCAGGTCGGGTTGGGTTCTCGACATAGCAGGGATTATGCCTATCCCTAATTCTGTGGCTACTCGGAGAGCATCTTCATTTATACGATTAATTACTTTCTTTCTTTGGAAAGAATGACAAAGATAGGGAAAAATTGAAATACTATCAATAGTAGGTCATTAGTCATTACTTGTATTAATTTTTAAACATTAGTATTAAGATCCCACATTCACTAAGTATGAGATTAGTGGGTGGTTTATTAACTTTTAGACTCCCTCTCCTCAGAAGTTGGTCTCAAATTTAAGTTCTACCCAATGAATTCGTAACAAAAACATTGATGAAGCCTTGTACATCCAGTAATCTATATTTCTAATTAAGTCATTCCTTTTCTTAATGAATTTATGTGTTTAGAATTGGTGTAGATTAGAAAATAATCATTTCATTTTAAACTAAATCATTATAAGTGTTTAGTAAAGGGATATTATCATCTAGAGGACAATTATTTTATAAATACATTTGAGGACACCATTTTAAGATATTTACAATTAGAGGACACTTAACAATAAAAAAAAAAAGTTAACTTTAACTTTGCTAAGGGTATTAATATAAATTTATAAAAATACACATTTAATTTCAATGAGATTCATAATTAAAATAAGTTGACAAATAAATTTTTATTATATTTTGCATTTTTTAGTTATGAGTTTTTCTTTTTTTAAATATATTGCCTTTAATTTTTTAACTTATATGTATAATTATACATATATTATCTTTCTTTTTTGGGGAAAAATGACATCATAATTGCAATATACATGGTTATTTAAGCCATTTTAGAAAATCAAGTTAAAGTTAAATGTGTTTTATTGCTAGATGTCCTCTAGTTGAGAATTCTCGAATAAAAAAAAAGTCCAACATTCAATTTCTTAAAATTGTCTTTTAATTGTAAGTTTCATAAAAATGACATGGGCAAAAGCTGATGAATGAGAGGTATGCCAGTAGGAGTTTAGTTGAAACTAAGGGATACCTTCGACCCTACGATCACTTAAATAAGATTCGTGATTTTTAGGGGATGTCGATGGGTTTTCCTGTGTGGCATTCTGATGCTTAAATCAGATATTAAGATCGGAAAATGAGGAGTTTTGTGTGAAAGTAGTGAGTCTACCCTTGTCGGCCCCCTTGTAGGGTTTATATAGAGCCCTTTCCCTCTAAACGTGAGGAGGGTTTTAAGAGCTGTGTTGCCATGATTTTCATGGCATAATAGCGCTTGAGATTGTGGTTAATGTAATGGCCAATTTTGGTTGATAACCAATTAACCATTAGAAATAGCGAAGAAGTTAATCTTCTAAAATATAGGAAAGGGATAGTTAACTTGGAGTGGGGAGTAAGCATATCATGGGTGGGTGGAGATATTATCTCCTTGTGTGCCACGTGTTTTGCCACTTGCTCACTCAAGTTAACTATTTGAGACTCCTTCCCATCGAGCAGACTTCTCAGGTTTTAACCACATGCGGCCCAAACCTCTAATCCGACCCATTTTCAAAACCTGATTAATTCTAGACCCTTATTAATATATATTAGGCCTGTTTATCAAGAACTTACTCGTTGGGCTTTGTCAATTTGGGCTAGGCTGAAAATTATTGTTCAACGAATGCATTTCATTATTTTTAAGATTATATCTTCTAGATTTTAGTTTGTCTCTTGTTTCTAATTAGAAACAAACAACAAAGTATAAACAAATTGCAAATGAAACAGTAACGTATAGCATCCTTAATCAAGCAAAGAACAAATCCTTACCAAAAGCATCAATGATATTAAACATATATAACAAAGAAAATCATATAATAGCTTCAACAAGCTACAACAAATATGAAAATTAAAGAAGTGACAATCTTATTCAGCGAATAGCAATGAGTTACAATAATATGAAAGTTAAAAACTTCAGACAACATAGCAATGATTTTCTTTGCAGTTTTTTTTTTTTTTTTTTTTAATGACTGGAGTTGTTCCAAGCCAATTTATCCGTACTTCAATTAGTCCCTTGAGACCTTAGAACTATTAGCCGAGTAAGAATTCAAGTGACCAACCCTATTAGGGGCCGTGGGGATTTGAACTTAGGAGACTATATTATATCATTTTCTTGCTCTTTTACCATTAAGGAAACTCGAACTTGGAAGACTTAGAGGGGTGGGATAATTCGATTAACCGAACTGGATGGGGTAAACCAAAAATCGAACCGGTTTTCGGTTTAGGCAAAAATGTAAACCGAAATTGGACCGGTTTATAAAATAAACCGAGTTTAAACCGAACCGAATATTCGGTTTGGTTATCTGGTTAACCGGTTTTCACATTATGTGTTTATGTGGTTACCATTCATCCATCATCATGCTTAAATTATAAGACATCCATTTCCTTGTTTCACATTAAGATATGAATCATTACCCACCAAAACAAAAAGTTGCCGAAACAAACATGAAATTAAGCTTGAATTAGAAGACATCCATTAACTTGTTGAATTGGCGGTGCCGCGATGGACTAGGACTGCTGATCGTGGAGCAGTTGAAGATTGAAGATTTGAATAGGCAGAGACCTAGCTTAGCTGTGGTCTTCGCCTTTGGTCGCAGTTTACCATCGTCGATGATAATGGTTAACGGTAATGAGAAGACAGTTTGGAGAGTTTGGTGGTGGGTGGCGCTGGCGAGTGGTGATGGAGTCTAGAAGAGTGGAAGTGCCGAAGTGGAGGTGAAGGGAGGTGGAGTTTTTGCAAAAAGTTGCAGTGGAGTCTAGATTGAAGGGTGGAAGTGCCGAGGTGGAGCTGTGGAGGTAGAGTTTTGCAAAAAGTTGCGATGGAGTCTGGAAGTGGCTAAGTGGAGTGGAGGTGGAGTTTGATAAAATAAAATAAAAAATTTCTTTATATACTTAGGGTTAAGGTAAAAACCGGTTTGGGAAAGCTCTCAAACTGAAAACCGAATCGGTTTTTTGGTTTTTCAATTTTTATAAATAGAAAACCGAACCTGTTTACAAAAAAACCAGATTTATGGTCCGGTTTCAGTTCGGTTTTCGGTTCGGATCGATTTTCAGATAATTTCTCCCACCCCTAGGAAGACTATATTAGATCTTCCTTTGCTGTTGTACCATCAGACTACCTAGTAGTGGTTTGCAATTCTTTTTTGTTGGCTCCTTCGCTCCTACCATTTCCTTTCCCTTTCTTAATAAAACGGTGGTTGGCAGCACACCAATCATCTCAAATTCCATTGCCACACATGTTTTCCATCAAAATAACTTATAATTAGCATGATAATCATAATAATTTATGAGATACTTAAATTAAAGAGTGTTAATCATCGGCATCAACTCGATATCAATCTTGACAAACACAACGTCTAAATACTTGGCTGCTAAGTCTTTAATGAATGGCTCCAAGAATTTTACCAGGTCCACACCATTTAGCCGTGAAATAAACCACCATCTTCACCAAAATCAAAACCACATTTAACTATTAATAGTCAACAAACAAACATTACTATTAACACCATGTATAGAAAAGATCATGTGAGGGTGAGTCATCGGGTACTTACCAGCTGGTTAGTTTGTTTGTTGACTTAAAACTCAGGTTCCCATTGGCTTATGAATTGATACTCTATCAGCTGATTCATATTGGCTTGGTTAGATGAAGATCCCTGTGGGTTCTTGAGCTTAGACATGTTTGCTCCCTCTTCAAAACTAATCTTATGGAGTTTTTTTTCTAGGTTTCAAGTTTGAGTTATAGGTTTCAAGTATATTATTGCAAATATCAAATTCAATTTTGTAAGTAATAAGTCCTCCATATTTTCAAATTTACATTACGAGTTTCATGTATGTTGTTTTAGGTTTTATTGATGCAATTTTCCGCACCAGCCTGAATGCCAGGGGCGAAAGCACGCGTCAACCAAGGATACTCGGTTAACTCTCAGGAGAACCAAGTAGGATGGTTGCGTGGTTCCTAGGAACCAAAAAAATGGACACGTATGATCTGGACAAGAGTGGAGTTGTGTGTGGATGATGTGACAAATAACAGAAAAAGAGAAACAAGCTTTTTAAGTGGTTCGGCTAAGCAATGGAATCAGGTCTACATCCACTGTTTCTTTTATAAGTGAATGATTACAGAGGTTATCTCAGTGAGATGACTACAACTAATTGCCTACTTTCTCACTCTGAATTTCTCTATTCCTAAGCCCTTTTTCCTCTGGACCTTTGAATCACTGATTTTGGGATTGTAACTTGGTATTTATAGGAGTCTCAATAGCAGTAGTTAGTGGAGGTTGGCGTCAATGGAATGATTTTTGTTTGCTTTGACACCAATTGGGCGATCGAGAAAGTCATGCCATCATTGTGTTTAGTGGTGATTATAGCTGTGGTTAACTGGAGCTTATTGAAGAGTTAGCGACGGCTTAGGCCAAGCAACTGCATGTATTACACGTGGTGCTCATGCGGCCTTCCAGGCTTGTTAGGTGTCATGCTTAGGGTTAACTTGTTAACACCTGGTTTTCCAGTCACAAGTTTTATTGTGGGTCTCAAGTAAACTTCCTTCTTGGATGATTGAGTGCGGCATGCGAGCTAAGATCCTCAGCATCTTTTCTAGGCTCAAGGTAGGTTGGATTCTCCTATACAACTATTATCCCCTAGTTTTTGAAGGTTGTTGCAAGCTTCAAAAACTCTTTTGCTGTTGATCTGAGCTATTAGAATGGGTCCTGCAAACATCTTGTCACACTTAATAGCTGCACCTTCAGTCTTCGGATGACGTTTTCTTCGATGGTGTATTTAATGTTGGTAATTTATATGTCGGGAACTGCAAGTGGCTACGTACTGACTAGAGCCTATAAATTATTGCTCTTGTGGGTTTTGCGTCTTATTGTCATTTACTTTTTCTAGGGTTTTCTGGTTTTCCTCGCCTAGTGTAGCCTTCGTTTAAGTAAATGTCTACCGATTCGTCATTGTCATCCGACGGGTTTCATGTGTGGCGTGCTAGCCAAAGCGGTGTCCTTAGAGGACCTTCCTCCACCTCTCGTAGATTTAAGTAAATGTCTACCGATTCGTCATTGTCATCCGACGGGTTTCATGTGTGGCGTGCTAGCCAAAGCGGTGTCCTTAGAGGACCTTCCTCCACCTCTCGTAGATCATAGAGCCATCATGCCTTAGGCTTGGATTATGAAGATCTTAGCCTTACTGCCTATAGTGAGCGGGCGAAGCGTGATCCCCTTGTTCTTGTTGCTGGCCCTTCTCTCAATCAGTTAGGTGCTTGAAGATGAGGGTGGTAGACAACCGTGGGAAGGCTCTGACACTGTTTTCTTGATGGAAGAGGAGAAAAAAAGTGATTGCTCCGTCTTCCATGCAAAGACGTAGCTAGAAATAAAATGTAGGGGTGTCAAAGTTGAAAGAACAATACAAATTTAAATTAACATAAGCACAAATTTTGTATTTATAAAATTCTCATTAACTAAAACATTTATAATTGTCCTCGACAAGATTTCATCTTTTGAAAGTATTATATAATGACTTCATTATCAATACTATCAAATACATCTTTTCATATATATATCTAAGCTATCATTCAACCATTGATCACTCATTCTATTTTGAAAACGATTCTTCATAAAGTTCATTGTTGAAAATGTTCTCTCTACACTAGTAATGGCAACGAGTAGAACCAATGCTAATTTCATCAACAAATAAACTAATGGAAACACTTTATCCTTCTTAATTTCAACCATCATTTTTGCATGATCTTCAATCCCATAAATTTGACATTAGAGCACATATCCAAAATGTAAATATCAAGTTGAGAATCAAGTGCCATGAGTTCTAAGTCAGAAAAATTATCTAGATAAAGTTCGACAAGGCGCATCAATTTTTGTTTATCAAAAGCAACAGATGATTCATTTGGACATAAACATGTCAAACAAATGAACAATTCAGTTTTTATCTCATTGAAACGATTATTCAACTCTTGAAGCGGCATATCTAGGACATTATAAAATAATTCAATGTGGTAATGATGCATGTTTGTGATACCTTGAGCCTTACGTTGTGATCGCCCTTGAATAAAAAACTTATCATCCATATTAGGAACATCAATGTCATGATTGACACAAAAAAGAACAAACTTTACTTAATAAAGTCTCCCATCCACTATCCCTCATCAATTGTAAAACTTGTTTACATGTTTCAACCAAATTCATAGCATTTACAATATTTTGATCTTTCCTTTGTAGTGCTTGAGAAAGTTCATTTGTAAAGCCAACTATATCTTTCATAAAAAATAGACTAAACACAAAGTCAAATGATTGCATCAACTTCAATATGTTTTTTGTATGAAATCTTTGCTCAGAGTTTGACCCATCTTTTGCCACAATTTCAAGAACATCGACAATTGATGAAAACATCAAGGTTATGCTCATTAACGTACCATAATGCAAGCCCCAATGCGTACCACTAGCACGTTGTAGATTAGTCTCTTGATTGAGACCTTTTCCACTTGAAAGTTCACCACTAGAAAGAGCTGCAATAACTTTACAAGCTTGCTTATCTCTAAGAATATCGCAACGCTTTGATGAAGCACTAAAAATATTAATCACAATCACCAGATATTAAAAAGATCATTAACATCATCATGGTTCTTTACTCAAGCCACAAGAGTCAATTGGAGTTGATGGGCAAAACAATGAATATAATAAACACATCTATTCTATTTCAAAACAAGTTTCTTCAAACCATTAAATTATCCTTGCATATTACTAGCTCCATCATAATCTTGTCCTTGTAGTCTAGAAAAACGCAACCCATACCTTGAAAAGAAATTATCAAGTGTTGCCTTAAGTGAGAGAGTTATGGAACTGGAACATGTTCAACACCTAGAAAACGCTCCACAACAAGTCCATTCTTGTTAATATAATGTAAGATAATAACCATTTGTTTCTTCTTAGAGATATCACGAGATTCATCAATCATTATAACGAATAATGAATCTCCTAAATCTGTAATGATAGCACTTACGGTTTCATTTGAAGCAGCACTTACAATGTCTAATTGAATCTCAGGTGATGTCAATTTAAGATCATTAGGAGCATTCTTGAAATGTACAGCATTGTAATATTCATTATGATTAGCCATAAATCATGGAAGCTTGAGAAAATTCCCTTGGTTGCTTGAATCATAGGATTCATCATTACCACAAAATGTGAGTCTTTGCATTAAAAGAAAGTGAATACTGTTAACTATAGTATTTAAACGGGTTCGATACTTTATTCATGTTTGAGAAGAGTGTCGATAAAAAAAGGCCTGAATATGTTGGCCTTGATTCAATAATGATTCATACATTCTTCGAGCTTGGTTATGAGCACTAATAGAACCTCCAACGTGAATATTCAATTTTTCTTTCTTTTTCCAATTTAAAAACCCTTGACCAACAAAGCGATCACCACTCCCTTTATCACCATCTGGCTTAAAAAGATAGCAATAAAGACAAAAGCATCTTTCGCTATACTATATTCCAACAATTGTTCAAATTCACTAAACCACAAAACAATAAATCTCCTTGGAAAATCCACCAAAATACCTAGAAGGAAACTCATGGCCCTTAGGTTGACAAGGACCCTTTCCAAATATATTCTTCTGATTTGATCTCGAATATTAGGATCATAATCTAAAATTTGGGGTCTTAAGCCTGGATCCGTAAGAAGATCTCGCAAATCAACATCAACTCTTTTACTTGAATCGCTAGTATTTTCCTTTTGTTCAAATGATAAGATCATTGTTGATTTTCTTTTGAAACATCTCTCCATACTATTTCAAAATAACAATATATTATTACCTGATAGAGAAAAATGCAACAACAAAATAGGCCAGTATGGGTAAAACATTGTGGTCCCAAGAACCCATATTCTCCATTAAGAAACAACACAAAATAGGCCAATATGGTTAAAATAATGTGGTCCCAAGTCTCACTCCTAAATCCATTTGAATTAAACACTTTTATGTAACAAAGATAAAAATGAGTAAAACAATATGGTCCCAAGAACTCATCTTCTCCATATATATATACATATTATTCGGCAATATGAGTAAAACAATGTGGTCCCAAGGTCTTCTTCAAAATAAATTTAAAAACTATCTTCTCACTTCCTCTAACTTCAATATATCATTACAAATAAATATAAAATTGATGCAATTTGTGGTCTCAATGGCAATGACAATGACAATTTCATAAATCCCAATCTATAATTTAACCTTGAACTTTTAAAATTGAAAAAAAAAAGGGGGCTTGCCGGCTTGATAGGGGGAGAAAACTACACTTGTGTGGATAAAAGGAAAAATTTGGCTTGATAGGTTGTTGAAGAGAAAAAAGCCATCTAGGGAAGAAGAAGGTAGGGTTTAGTACTTTAGTTTGAGTTTGATAGTCCAAAAAAAGAGGTTTAATTTATTGGGTTTAGTGAAGTTTTTGGGTATTTTAATTTCATCTAAGGGCAATTTTGTAAAAACATAGCAAAAAATTCAAAAGTCAAGGAGGGTCAACTTCATATAAGGGCATTTTTTTTTTTAATATACTTAGCAAAAAAATTTAAAAAGTCAAGGAGGGTCAACTGACCCTCCTTGACCTCCCTCCCTTTGTCCCTACTTCCATGGTGAGACAGATATTGCAAGGCTTGTCATCGGTTCTCATGAGGGAGAAGCTAGAGGAAGCGATTAGGCAGTTGGCAGATCATCTATGAGTCCCCATGTGCACCTTTATTCTTCGAGGGCTTCCTCTAGCAGCTTTGCTTTAGAAGATGGGTCATGACTAGGCCCAGGTTTGCTATTTGCGTTGTGTCTTATCTTTCATGGGTGATTGAACGAGTAACTTACCTTGATTTCTTTTCTTCTGCAGCTTTTCTCCTTGATGATGCTACTTCATTAGGAGGCTTTATCTATTTTCTTGGATCATAGGGCAAATCAATTTTGGTTCTAGAAGGCCGAGAGGGAGATAGTGGAGTTAGAAGATCGCCTCGCTTCCTCCCAGGCCAAGCTTGATCGAGGTCGCTAGGAGATGCTTCAGGAAGTAGAGGTGAGGGAGTAGAGGATTATTGAGCTTCCTTGGGAGAGGGCAATGAACCAGTTGGAGGTGTCATGGCTACAAGATGTGAAGAACATCCTCCAGAGTGAGAAAGAAGAGCTCAAGTGGCAAGCTACTCGCCTGCGGAGGGAAAAAGCTCGGGCTTTGCCTCCCCATATAGATTAGATTGCTCTTCCTCTTACCTTTTCTTGTTTATGTTCATTTTAGGTGCCTCCGGACTACCTGGAGCTTTTTGTGAACCAACTTTGATATAACACTTTCGGATGTTAACACAATAGTAATTGTTATTATAATCCATATTTCGACTAGTGTGTGCATGAGACTTACTTGACTTTACCATTTAGAAAATGGAGCTCTTTTGTTCTATTTGTGGTGTTTTCCTCGTAGAGACCTTATTTTTCCGAGCTCCTGAAACCTCGAGTCATGGGATGTTCCACAATTGGCTCGGATATTGAAAAGGTGTTGGCTAGAAGCCCGGAGAAGGGTCTTTATGGGTTCTCAATGTTTCGGGGCTTGGACTGACTGATGTTTTGGGGCTTGGAAGAACCGAGGCTTTAGGGCTTGGACGGACTGAGGCTTTTTGCTTTGCTTTCGTAGGCTTTGAGTGTACGAGACAATTAGATTTCATGTAGAGCCTTTGAAGAGTCGCGTCAATCATGTTTAAATGTTATGTCATTTGAGGTAGTGTTTCGATTAAATACTAGCGCGCGTTGAAAAGTGATTGCCTTGATTTCTTAAACGAGGCTCATGCATGGGCATTGAATGACACCACGTAGATGGCTTTGATGGTTCGGATTGTCTTTGTTAGCCCATCTTTATTGTTCTATAAAAGGTGCTCTAACTTCGTCTTCCTTTATTCACAGTAGTTGTTTGTGCTTTCCGCCTAGTCTTTAGATAGTCTCATTGGCCCTTTCGTGAGTTTCTACGTTTGCGGAATCATTTATGTGATAAGTTTCTTCTCTTTTTTTCCTTTCATTGTTATGTTGCCTATTGGTTCGACCCACCAGTGTCTTGGAGGGCAACCACAAAGATTTGTCTTGGGGTCGCTTGGGTAGATGCCAGTGCTTGGCTTCCACCATTTCACTTCCTTGTCCTGATCGAGGGACAAGTGATCAGTGAGTTATTTTGTAAGGAGTAGGGGTTTCGGGTAATATTAGATTTTGCGTTTTAGGTATTTCTAGAATTGGGCAACATAGTCATCGCTCGTGGTCAAGGTTGTCGGGGTGAAGCCATGGGGGAGCCTCTATTGTTCCTTTAGCGACATAGATGTTCGTGAGGAGTTGGCTCAGCAATGTGGAGATGGACTCCTTGCGGGTGTAGGACGACGTAGTTCCTTCGACGGTTGTTAAGCCGCGCAAGAACCTAATGCATCCTCTTCCCGACAATGATCTTGAACGTATAAAGAGGAATATAGCCTAGTTGGTCTTCTCCGTCATGCTGAGGACTGCTCTCCGAATACTCCTTATGCCGATTGGACGGCGACCTCAGAGACCCTCCTTAGGTGCAGGGTTCAGTGCCCCCACATAAGTTTATCTTTGATGTGACGGAGCACTTCGGGATTGCCCTGCTTTAGTTAACGGTGAATTCTTACCTGTGCATGATTGGCATGTATATTACATATAGAAAGAATGACATTGGTGAGTTTACTGTCGATGAGTGTTAGGGAAGAAGATATTTTGAACGATAGGGAGAAAAGAGATTTTGTTTATATGAGGAACAGTGCCTCCAAGAACGAAGGTTGAAGAAGAAGTTTATCAATTTTTTTATCTTAAGCATAAAGTTCTTTTAGGCTTTTATAGCCTGACAGCTTAGCTCTTTCCTGGTATAAAAGGACTCCTGCATAATGATATAATCCAATTCTTTATTGACTACAATTCCTAACATTATTCTATATTGAATAAAATAATAATAGCTGAATAAAATACTAATAATACTCTAATTATAATCATTTGCCTATGCAAGTCTTCTCTTTGAATGCATGGACCTTCTCATAACACTCTCATCATAATCAAGCAAGTTCCTAACATTGCCCACCCCTGTAGAAGCAACCCTATCCTCAAGGTTGGAAAGGATAGTGCCATAAAGAGCTATAAGGTCATAAAATCTTCCCATGATGTCTCTTCCAACGGCAGCCTGTGCCATTAAACTAAACATTGTGAAACTAAGACCCTATTGCGAATGAGTTGTTGAGTACTCACAATGGCGAGCAGAGAAATCGATGCATTGCTTTGAAATCGACACACCTGACGAAAAGTGTTAATTTGAACGACCTTTTCAGATGTTACCGTTGCGCGTAATGGTTCACCTAACTAATAAAATATTCTTTATTCTAACAGGCTTGTCCATTACGCAATAAGTGCCAGCCGTGCATATTTAATGCGAGCCATGCTGAAACGACATTCTCCTTCAGGGCATTAAATGCTGATAGGGGTGCATTTAATGTGGAGGAGGGTAATCGTACTGTCATTTGGTTATTCCAATGGAGGGAAACGTCGATTGGTGTTTACGAAGCGTGGAGGTTACTATTCCCACAGATTAACGACATATGGTCATAATCAATGGCGAGAAACGTGTCCCGCCCAAATGTCGCTTGCTCAGAAAACCAATTGTCACATTTCCCCTATAAAACCTGAATTTGCTTCAGGTTGTTGCCACAGGATTCACATTTTAAAAAAGAAGAACAAAACTCTCGCAAAAGTCAGCCCGCCTTCTTTTGTTGATGGGCACCGTCTATTACGACAGAGAACTCTTCCCATGCTGTCAAGAGGTAAGAAGAGTTTCTCCCTCACTTTCTTCCATTACTCAACTGATCTATTCGACTTTCTTGCTGATGGCTGGAATGGGCCATCCGATGATTTTTTGTAGTGCGTATCCCAAGATAGTGGTGAGGAGAGGGGGTTTATTTTTTCTTAAAGATGAGAAGTTCCGGGCATAGATCCTTGGGGATTCACCCCTAAAAGGTTTTTGAGGGTTTTTCTAGGATTTTGGAAGGATGCATTAGGGTTTCCTTTGTCCTTCCACGTCACCATACAGAACATCGTACGAGGATTGAGCCTTGTTTCTTTCTTTTATATATATATATATATATATTTTTTTTTTTTCTTTACATCGCCCCTTTTTTAGACCTTAAGAACGATGGATGCCTCAACGACCAAGGTAGTCGAGGACACGAGCTCGCAGGCGCCAACCGCTCAAGCGGGTTTCGTGCTAAAGACCTTGTCGGTGATCACCCGAGAGGAGATACAAAAGGCAGTGGACCAATACATGCTTAGCGTGAATGTCTATCAGTATAGAGCCCGTATGGCTTGGAATCCCCTAGAGAGAAAGGCCGTAATCTCGGAGACGATCTTTAAGTGTGGGGCATTGATACCTTTTCATCCCTTCGTATGGTCGATCCTTAACCAGTTCAAGGTCATACCAATGCAGTTAATGCCCAATGCGTATATGATAGCTATGGCTATGTATATTGCGTGTGCCGAAAATAGCCTTGGCGAGTTGATGACACTGGAGCTCTCATGCTCTTACTATCTGAAGAAGAGCAAAAACATATTCTTTTTACCTCTCGAAGTGATGTACGATCGAGGGAGGAATATTCAATTACCCCAACAATGTCGGGGCCTATAAAACTAAGTTTTTTTTTTTTTTTTTTTGAATACGATGGCATCTGCCAATTTAGGGAGCCAAGTAGGTCTTTCCTTTCCATTTGCGAACTGTTCCACCTTCGGCTTTTGTGTCTAACGAAGCTTTTTGTCTCTTCGCAGGGAATAAGATGACCAGGTTGGGAAATCAAACAAATTACAACCGAATCATTGTGTTCGGCCATCTTCCCAACCATTGTCGCGACACGAGACTACTTGTGACCACTGCTAACTTGAGGAAGTACGACTTTTTTAATCCGGAAGCGTCTTTAGAGTTAGACCGTAAGTATCCCCATACTTAGAATGCTTTTTGGTTACTTGCGGCGACTTGTCTTACTAACATGTTTCTATGGTGCGTACCGATTATGCCGCCCAAGGTGCCGAGAAAGTTTGTGTTTCCCTGGGTCGCTCCAACTGAGCTAGTCGAGGTGGTCCCTAGTGATATCCCCACAAGAGGGATACAAATTGGAGCCGAAAAACGAATACCTCTAGAGCGACATGGGGAAGCTCTTTGGCCTGCGGCTGCTTGTGCCCCTAAGTAGAAAACTAGGGCCAAAAAACAAAGAAAAGAAAACAGCTGTAGGCTGAGGAATCGGAGTTTGAGTCAGAGGGCGCTGGGATGCAACCCGGGAGTTCACAGCCTTACCAGGCTTTTCGCTCGAGGCGCTTGTTGGGCGTCTCAGCGATCCCCGAGAGCTCAGGCCAAAAAGAGGGGAAAATCATGGTTACCCGCAGGAAAGCGGGTAAGCAGCGAGTCGATGAGTTGCTAGTTCCTACAGAGGCAAGTACACCAGTGTTGGATTCCATAGGGTAACTCCCAGAGCACTTACAGCTGGTGTTATACACCCTACAAGAGTCCCAACTAGCTTCGGCCTTTGAGGAGTTCGTGGCTTCCCGACACATAGACTTGATGACCACTGCTCTTCAACTGCAAAGCCAGGTAGGGCGGTCTATCCTTATCAAGGACTTCAGACTTAGTTGATTTTCTGGCCTTAATAATTTTCGAAAAAATGGGAGTTAACTCTTGCTTCCTTTATTTTGCAAACCCTACTTGCTTCGTACATGGCCCAGCAGAAGGTCAACCTAGATTATGTCGGAGGGATCCACTATTTGAAAGAGGAGAATGTCAAATTGAAGAAGGACCTCGAAGATCAGGCCGCAGAGGCAAAGTTGTTCAACCTCTAAGCGAATCAATACCTGGTGGAGAAAAATTCTGCTCTTAGCATCGTGGATTTCCAGAAGGCTGAGCTTGAAAGGAGAGACGAAGAGGTCAAACAACTCCAGACAACAGTAACCAAACTCACCAAAGAGGATGGCAAGAAAGAGAAGGAGCTGAAGGCAAACTCGGACCGTCTTGTAAAGGCGAAGGAAGAGAGAGCTCGATTGTGGGAGAACTCCAAGAAGCAGAAACAAGCGCTGGAAATGGACCTCAAGCTTTCCCGAGGGCGGATCGCTTCATTAACTAACTAGATGAACTGGCAAGGTCTTGAGCTTGAAAGGAAAGCCGCTGACTGGGCCACTCGAGCTATTTATACCTTGCGACCAAGGAACCCAGGAATGGATCTTTCCGACCTCCCATTTGATTATCAAGACATCCTTGCCTCCATGGCCTAAGCTGATGATAAGGCCGAGGAACAAGAGCCCCTCCGAAGGATGATCAGTCGGAAAAGTATGTTCGTGATGATCCAGTGGTTGACCTAACAACCGACGACTAACCGGGGGACGACGAGGTCGCGCCCACGGATCTTGGAGGTGGAGGCCAGTGATCGTTTTCTTTTTCAGTTTTTTTGACTCTTTTCCTTTTGGCTGTCCACTATATTTTTGTAAATCATAAATAAAGAGAGCTTTTATTAGACTTTTACAATTTTGAGTGCTTTGCAAAACTAATATTACATCTCATCAAGAAACTTGTAAAAATATTACAACAAACAAGATCATGTAAGACATTTATTCAAGGTGAAGAAGAACGATCTTATTCATAAAGGTTACAAGGAAAACTTTACAAGTAAAGGAGATGGAAAACTGAGAGTGAGCCAAGAATTACTGATAATAGGGATGAAGATGTTTGGCATTCCAAGCTTGCGGTACTTCAGAATCGTTAAGCCTCTTGAGGTGATATGTTCCTGGTTGTATCACTTTGGCAATGCAGTATGGATCTTCTCAGTTGGGTCCTAATAACTCCATGCTTGGTTCCTTTGTACAGAGAAGGACTTCTTTCAAAACCAGGTCGTCGACCTAGAAGTCCCTTCTTCTGACCTTAGAGTCGAATAACGTTTTTACGTGTTGCTAGTAAGATGCTATTTTTAACCAAGCCTTGTTGCAATGTTCTTCAACTAGGTTTAGGCTTGCGCGTAGAAGCGCTTTGTTGTTTGTTTCGTTGAACAAGTCTCTCTGAAGTAAACAAGTCCCCACTTCTACCGGGATCATTGCCTCGTAGCTATATGCTAGCGAGAAGGATGTTTTCGAAGTGGATGTTCTCAGAGTCATTCTGTATGCCTATAGAACTTTAGGGAGGTCATCAACCCAATTACCTTTGGCAGCACCAAGCTTGGCCTTCAAGGTGTGCTCGATGGTTTTGTTGACAGCTTCAACCTGTCTATTAGCTTGCGGTCTGGCAACTGAGGTGAACTTTTTGTGGATCTCAAACTCATCGCAAAACTGCTTGAATTCCTCGTTATCGAATTGTTTACCGTTATTAGAGATGAGAGTATGAGGAATTCCATATTGGCACACTATACTCTTGAAGACAAAGTCCTTACGCTTCTTGGTAGTGATTGCAGCCAGGGGCTCGGCTTCAGCCCATTTTGTGAAATAATCTACCGCAACCACAACATATTTGACGCCCCCCTTCCCGGTGGACATAAGCCCAATAAGGTCAATTCCCCACATAGAGAATGGTTAAGGGCTGGTCATGATAGTTAGCTTGTAAGAAGGAGCTCGCAGGATGTTTGCAAACTGCTGGTATTTGTCACACTTTTTTACAAAGTTGAAAGTGTCTTCCTAAAGCAGGGGCCAATAGTATCCTTGGCAGACAATCTTATTGGCAAGGGATCGAGTGACAGTGTGATTACCACAGATCCCTTCATGTATCTCCCTTATAATATAATCTGCTTTCTCGTCGGTTACACATCGGAGGAGAGGGGCGCTAAACCCTCGCTTATACAACTGATCCCCGATGAGTGTGTAATTAGCAGCTCTGGTGCACAGGATTTTTTCCTTAGTCTTGTTGTTAGGCAGAGTCCCATCTCAGAGATATAGAATAATTGGGGTCATCCAAGAAACTGATTCGGTTGTGGCTACTATTGGCTCAGGTTAGCTAATGCTCAGGATTTCTATGTACCGAACTGGAATATTGTCTGGCACATTCCAGTCTAGCGATGAGGCTATCTTCGCAAAGGCATCTGCGACAGAGTTACTATCTCTCGGGATTTGCGTGATCGTGAAGTGCTTGAAAGGCTTGAGTGCGACCTTTGCTTTCTTTAGATAGTTGATCATGTTTTCTTC